ACATTCAAGGATACCATATAAGTGAATACTGATTTACAATATGAATTCCCCATTTACTGATTTTTACAGAGACGGTCTTTAAGTTCAAAACTCTCAAGAAAGCAGCACAACTGGCAGTTATCAATAGTCTTGAAAAGGTATGTTATTTCCCTTGCTTGTACCTTTTTCCAGATTGTCTTTGCAGAAGCTTGAGTAGAGAAGTAGACAATGGAGTTTGATATGGATGTGTTTACATGTTTCTGTCATCTTCAGTGCGTGCTCTATTTTGTTTTATGCCTAGAAATAGAAGGGCCAAATTGAATGAATGTATAGTAAGAAATCCCAAGAATTTAGGTATACTGGATTAAAGGAGTCTCTGAGTCAGGTATTCTGTCCTGCAGTGGCTACCTAGAGAAGGATGGAAAAATAATAGCATCCTTCTGCTTGACCAAATGGTATTAAAAGATAAACTGCTTTCATTATAATAATGTAGAACTCTCTTGACTAGTTGCTACTCACAGGAATAAAAATGTGAATGGTCGATAAAATTAAATTGAATTAAATTAAAACTACATATATTTATTTTGTTGGCACTTCCAACATTGGTGTTGAAACATTAAAAACATGCTGTGCAGCAACAACTAATCAACATGATAAACATTTGAACAATACACGAGACTTGAAAAACACAATAATACTCAGTAAGCCATACAGTTGATGTATTTATCTGATACAAGGTGCATTGAAGGGTTAACATACACAGATGAGGAAGGGGCCTTTATGTTTGTGGCGCCCTTGGGCAAGTGCCCATCAGACCCATGGGTTAAGACAGCCCTGATATGAACCCTTTTAGTTTAAACTCTGAAAGACCAGATTATGAGGTCAGATGATGTTCTTTTCTGCCATAGCCATCATAATGGTAGCTTAGTAAGAGGCAATGTAGTACACTTAGTTACATTCTGAGTTGATTTATGCATTACAGAGAAAGAGCGGAACATTTTATGCACTTTTGCTTTTCTGTCTTTGCTTTCCCATATGAAATCAGAAAGGGCACAATTGCATCATTTATCATCTAGAAATGTAGCTCCTGTACAAAATGTATTCTTTGTATTAATTGTGCTTTCTGACAAATATCGTCTAGGCATTTTGGAACTGGGTGGAAAACTATCCGGATGAATTTACAAAGCTATACCAGACACCACAGACAGATCTATCGGGTAAGAGTTTATCCCACCAGGAAGAGGCCTTGCCAGATGAATTTTCTTCCTTACATCTCCCTGCATGGCTAAGCTCACGTAATTGCAAACCAACCATGCTAATCTTCTAAAATGACTTGTTTTGAACATGGTCTCTGGATCGGAGTCCCATATTACTGAAAGGAACTAGGAAGATTCGCCTCTCACCAAAACCTCATCCCTCACCTCATTACCTTGACGAATTTGCGGCTCTGTAGCTGCCAGGGCTCCAATTCCTCTCAATCCCAGCCAGAATGTTAATAGTCGTTTTGGTTTAACCATTTGGGATTACCCAGCATCTTTCTGGGGGAAAGAAAATTGACATTTAAGCTTGTGTCACTAAGGCAAAAATGGTCTTCTGTGTTAACATCTGGCCTGCAGATCTCAAACTGGTCCTACTCAAGTGTTGTTGTTTTTTTAAAGAGAAAATGTTTGTACTTCTCCAGATGTTTCTCAGCCCGGAACTTGAAAACAAAAAAGCCAGGCTAAATGTTTAGGCTGTGTTCTGTTTTCTTCTTGAAGGTTGTAATTAGATCTTTTCTTTCTTCCTTCCTTCTTTCCTTCCTCCCTCCCTCCATCCCACCCTCCCTCCTTTCTCCCTTTCTTTCTGCCTTTCCTCCCTCCCTCCCTCGTCCAGGAGTCATATCTTTGCAGTACTGTTAATTATTGATACTGTCATTAACATGGGAGGGATTTTAGCATTTATCCTTCTTCTGTTAGTGGAACTCAGCGTGTTTTGTGTCGTCTCATTTCTTTGGTTCAGATTGTGCAGAGAAGCTGTTTGACCTGGTCGATGGATTTGCTGAAAGCACGAAACGCAAAGCAGCTGTTTGGCCCTTGCAAATAATCCTCCTCGTCCTTTGTCCGGAGATCATCCAAGACATTGCGAAGGATGTAGTAGAGGAAAACAAAATGAACAAGGTAAAGAAAGCTGAAATATCTTCCAATCAGGTCTTTATATGGAGAAGCTGATTTATAGTATTTTTCAGAGTATAAGACGCACCTTTCTCCCTCAAAAAAGAGGCTGAAAATCTGGGTGCGTCTTATACATTGAATACAGCATTTTTTGCCTCCCGAAACCTAATGGCTATCCATACCCTTTTTTTGGGGGGGGGGGGAAACGGGCCGTTTTTGGGAGGTTTGCAGAGTGCAAAGACTCTCCCCCCCCCTCTTCAAAATCTTGGTGCGTCTTATACTCTGAAAAATACGGTATTTTAAAACAAATGCAAAAGCGAGAAATGTAAGTGCAGTCCTGTTGGAGCAAGCTTCCATAATCTTCTGTATTGGTCTGTTTCAAGAGTTCCCTTTGGGAAGCTTATCTGTTTAATGAATAAGTCAGTCTCCCACTCTTCTCCAGTAGCTGCTATGTAAATGATGCTGCCTGCGTGGTAATGGTGGTGGTAAATAGCCATCAAGAATCAAACATGTAGATTGGTGACCGATGAAAGCTGTTGACCATTTGTAAAATGGAAACTTTAGTATAATCCTAAATTAAGGGTTGAAATTAAGCTTTATCTTTTTTGCGAGAGAAGTTGGAAGTCATTTTCTTTTTGTACTTCTGTTTTTTTCTACTGTTTTGGTTTTCTGCACTACTATCTCTCTTTTTAGTCTTTCTATCTCTCAGACTATAAAAAAATACTGAACATTGGAAAGCATTCAATTGGACTGCTTGACCTTTGAATTCCCCTTTTTTCCTTCCTTCCTTCCTTCCTTCCTTCCTTCCTTCCTTCCTTCCTTCCTTCCTTCCTTCTAACAGCAAACCAATGCAATAGTTTAAAAACACAGAACAGATAACATAAAAAGACATAAGATAAAGGTTCCCCTCATACATATGAGCTAGTCATGCCCGACTCTAGGGGGCGGTGCTCACCTCCAAAGAGCCAGCGCTGTCCGAAGACTACTATCCTTGGCCGGCCTGACTAAATGCCGAAGGCGCACAGAACTCTGTTACCTTCCCACTAAAGGTGGTTCCTATTTTTTCTACTTGCATTTTTACATGCTTTCGAACTGCTAGGTTGGCAGAAGCTGAGATAAGCAACGGGAGGTCACTCTGTTACGTGGTACTAGGAATTCAAACTGCTGACCTTTCTGATCGACAAGCTCAGTGTCTTAGCTACTGAGCCACTGCGTCCCTTCATTAAAAAAAAACACATACAAAACTATAATAAAATACATAAAACACTCTAGTAATTACATCCACCAATAGTAGTTACCGCCACTAATGTGGCTGAATCCCATTCTTTTGTCCCTATGCCCCATGCCCCTTGGCAAAAACCAAGTTTTCAGATCCTTGTGAAAAGGCCATCAAGGTTGGGGCAGTTTGATTCTTTAGCCCTGTTCCTTTCGTGGTTAGCTACTCCAATATTTGTTAAGATTTTTTAAAATAGTTCTCCCTATGAACTATTAAACTGTTTTTGTTTCCCCTATGTGTTATTTTATTTTATTTCGTATTTGTAAGCTGCTCGGAGTCCTCCAGGATTGGGCGACATATAAGCTCATTAAATTGATAGATTGAATTGATTGATATGAATCCATTTTTGTGAGCTTTATTCCTTTACAAGGTATAGGTATGGTGTATATTTTTTTTCATTTGTACTCAATATATTGTTTCCATCCCATTTCTTTTTTCTTCCCTGTTTAACCTCAATAAACAAATAATGGTTGAGGAAAAAAAGAGAGAACTTTGGCAACATTACAAAACAACAACCAGACACGTCTGATTTTTAATTAAAGCCATATCCAAAACATGCCATACATGAATGCCTTTAGGTAGCCTTGGACTCTCAATTGTAACAGAATCAGGAATTTCTGTTTTTAAGTCATGATGATCATAAGTTGAGGAACCTACATGACTGGATCCGATCTCACAACTTTTTTTGCAGTGCTCATTAAGCAAATGTCACGATCGTTGAGCAAACAATGTGATTGTTAAGTGAATCCATGTATTTCAATGGATATTTTTTTCCTGGCCAAAAATGCCAGAAACTGGCAAAAAAAAAAAAAGGTGTGGTCATAACTAAGGAACACTGCAACTGGCCATAAAGGTGAGCCGGTTGCCAAGTACTCAAAATGTGACTGTATGCAACTGTGGGAACTCCAAAACGAGGTCATAAGTAGCTTTTGGGGTGGAGGTGGGGGCCCATTGTAACTTAGAATGGTTACTAAGGGAGAACTACCTGTACTACATGTTGGTGAGCAGTCCATCTTTTTAACATGCTAAGTTTTTTTATGCGCAGGATTTTGTTATATTTATTTTGTACCATGAGAATGAAGAGTATACCATTTTCTATGAAGGATTTCCAGCCCGCTTTCTTTCAGAAATCTAAGTGATATAGCAATAGCATTTAGACTTACATGCCACTTCACAGTACTGTACAGCCCCTCTCTAAGTGGTTTACATACCAACTTCAGAAGGTTGGAAAGCTGAATCAAGCTTGAGTCGGTCAGGATTGAACTCCTGGAGTGAGCAGTGAATTAGCCCTGCAGTACTTCTTTCTAACCACTGTGCCACCATGGCTTGTGAACAAACTAATCTAATTATCTAATATGATTAGATATTATTAGCATTTAACTTGCTGCCCCCAAATTTTACTTTTTCTACTGGAGTATAACACTGCAAAAATAGTTTTGCACTCCAGAAATGGTTTGGACTCAGAATATGTTAGAATCTTAACCTTTACATTTTTGTATCAGTAGTGTAGGAGATGACAAGGCAGAGCCTGAGGGAGGGGTCAAGTGTGTCATCAGTCTTGAGTCCCTTGGCACCCACAAGGGGACTATGATTCAACCCACCTTGAATTCCATTTACGTTTATCAATTTATTTTAACTGTTAGTAGTTCAGATTCTTGTAGAGAGCTTACAATACATCTTCATATTCATTTGAACTGCCTGGACTCCTGATCTTCAGGCAGAACAGTGGCTGCTATGAAATTTGAACTTAGAAACAATTTTAATTTATTTTCTTGTTCATATGTTTTGGACACTATAGAAACAATTCTTGGACAACCTCAGGAAGGCGCTGGCAGGCCACAGCGGAAGTAGGCAGCTAACTGAAAGTGCAGCCATCGCTTGTGTAAAATTGTGCAAAGCATCAACATACATCAGTTGGGAAGACAATTCAGTCATTTTTCTTCTAGTGCAGTCCATGGTAGTAGATCTCAAGGTAAATTATAGTCTGCTTTGTATGTGTGAGATTTTGAACACCGAACCTTTAATGATTGTTTGTGGGCAGCTTATCAGATCCTGGCTTGGTATTGTGTCTAAGTTGATTAATGGTAGTTAAGAGCCATTGCTTCACCTTGTGAAAGTCCTGCCTTTTCTATTGAAAAAAATCTCTCTCTTAACCAACTGGTTCAAGAAAATGTTGGATGGGGAAGTAAATCTCAAAGAGTTTTAGAACCATTGTGTGGATTGCCTATATTTTCACCTGGAATGGTATGCTGGACTTGTGACTGTCCATGACATAAATTCTATGGAGATTCTCAGTCATCCAGGTCATGGTTGTCCCAAAGGTGCTTTTTCAAAAGGCATCTGGACTTTGTTTTTCCTGGAAGACAGTTCACTTCTGATCCAAAAAGCTTCAAACTGGAGAAGCTTCTTGGATTGGAAGCAAAATATCTTCAAGAAAAAAACAAAGTTTGAAAAAGCACCTTTAGGATGTCCAGGAGATAAATGGATATCTGGCTTAAACCAGTACGGTAGTTATATTATTTTTCCCCTACTTTTGCCTACAAGGGAATTATCACAATCTTTGCTCAACCACCTTGTGTTGGTTCCCCACCTCTTCCAACATTGCCTAATTGTAATAACCACGACCTGTGTTTGTTGTCTTAAAGAACCTGCTCTTCAACCCTAGCAAGCCTTTCTCCAGAGGCAACCAGAATGCAGATATAGACCTCATGATTGACTGCTTAGTGTCCTGCTTCCGAATCAACCCCCACAATAATCAACACTTCAAGGTAAGGGTGTAGCTCTTTGGGTCTCTAGCTAAAGTTGATCCAGAGCATGGGATTGGACAAATGAGTCAACTGGCCAGGATTTGTGAAGAATCAAGAACTTTGTAGTCCAGCGTTCATTCTTCTGAAAATTTTGATGAAATATTGATGAAATCCCTGCCTTGTAGGTGGGTCTGGGCTCATGCCTTACAGTGGTGCCCCCTTGTCATGGTTTTGCTCATTTGCTTGCAGGTGATGTTGGTGGGTTTGTACATTGGATTTCCAGATTTGTTTATGAAGGAAACTTAACCCCACCCCCCTTGTTTTTTCTAGACTTGCCTGGCACAGAATTCCCCATCCACGTTTCATTATGTGCTGGTAAATTCACTCCATCGTATAATTACAAACGTAAGTTTTTAAGTTACTATAATCCCTGGGTAATTTCCCAAGTTAGTGGCAATCTAACAAGAAAGAAAGATGGGAGTGAGGGAGATAGGAGCTATACATAAAGTTTGTCTGGGCCAGCATGTTGATCTTTAAAGGCTCTAGTATGCCACAAATAGAATAATATATCTATTCTGAACCCTCTCCCTAAATTTATTCTTAGCTGCATCCTTTTTGTCAGAAGAGGAAGGTGTTAGAGGACTGGTAAACTGTATCATCAGGCAGAGAAAGAGACAGGATATATCGCCTATGATATCTGTTATTTATTTATTTAGTGTATGGTGATGTTACATTAACCGGATTACTGGATTAGTACAAAATAGTTGTTTGGCTGCCGACAATTGCTAATTCATTCAGTTCACACTATCTAGAGTGCACCATGGGGTGGACTATTGCCACATTCAGAAAAGTTCTGCAGCGTGATCTGGGCTTCTTCCTCTACCAATGTCACCTCATGCTTGGGTGTCGCATTGGGGAAAGTCCGGCACCAGCTGGATTCATGCTACTATACAAAACGCCATTATTTTCCCACTGAAGTGGTACCTATTTATCTACTTGAATATCACATGTTTTGAACTGCTAGGTGGGCAGAAGCTGAGGCACGTGACGGGAGCTCACTCTGCCACCCAGTGCTAGGACTTGAACTGCTGGATCAAAGACCCTCTCCAGTGTCTTTAAGCCACTGAGCCACCATGCCTCCTTATGATATCTGTGATGCAAGGTGATGTCACCATCAAAACCATTGTGACCTGCTTTAGGAAAACTGCTGGAAGCAGTGGTACAGTCATAGACGAGCCACTTCACTGTGAATTCCTTACTAGACTGTGTGTCCTGTGGAATCCTCTTGTTGTCTAATCTCCACTGATATTTTGTCTTCTTCCTCATCTAGTCTGCATTAGATTGGTGGCCCAAGATCGATGCTGTCTATTGTCACTCTGTGGAACTCCGCAGCATGTTCAGTGAAACTCTCCATAAAGCTTTACAGGGCTCCGGTGTGCATACACCAATCCGTATGACCCCGGTGAGGCCTTGCTTTTTGTTAAATTAGTTGGTACAGAATCTTGGGGAAATGCACTTGTTCCGTTTTTTATGTTCTAATGTTGCATCCAGTGGTACCCGTTTGGTGGCCATTAAAAAAAAAAACCTCCTCCCTTTTCCCGCCCCAGTGATCTTTCTAATGTAAAACCCAAGGTGAAAGAACTTAGTATCTGATAGTTGTGTTCTCAGATCATAGGCAAGAAAACCCAAGAGAAGCCAAATACCCCTTGGCTGTCAGATTGGCATAGCAATAGCAATAGCAGTTAGACTTATATACCGCTTCATAGGGCTTTCAGCCCTCTCTAAGCGGTTTACGGAGTCAGCATATTGCCCCCAACAACAATCCGGGTCCTCATTTTACCCACCTTGGAAGGATGGAAGGCTGAGTCAACCCTGAGCCGGTGAGATTTGAACAGCTGAACTGCAGAACTGCAGTCAGCTGAAGTAGCCTGCAGTACTGCACTCTACCCACTGCGCCACCTCGGCATGAATACTAGGCAATTTGGTAACGTACGTGGGATTAAATATAAGGTACGATTTTCTAACCATGGTAATTTTCAGGAGCGGACTTCAACTTTCAGAATTCTACAGCCAGCATGATCGTTGATGAGAAATCTGGAAGTTGGAAGTCCACATTCCTGGAAATTCTCAAGGTTGGAAAGCACTGATTTAATCTTAGAAAAAGTCTTAGCAAATAAAAACAACAGAGCAGTGGAAGTCGGTTTCTAGACACGGGTGGGTTTTCCTTTCTCAATCTTTTTGAAACATTTTAATTTCTGCATTTAGCAGGTTGATATGGTGTACCCAATGGCCCTTTCCATTTGTGACTCTCTGCTAGTTTCCTCCTTGTTTCTCATACAATGATTTTTCATACTATGTGCCTTTGTTAGTATAGTTGTGGACTGACTTGTTATTTTCAGCCTGTTCAGGTGACCTCAGAATCCTTTTCAGTAATGAAAGGGATGAGTTAAAGAGAGATTGTATCATAATAGCAATAGCACTTAGACATATACCGCTTTACAATGCTTTACAGCCCTCTCTAAATGGTTTACAGAGTCAGCAAATTGCCCCCAACAATTTGGGTCCTCGTTTTACCTATCTCGGAAGGATGGAAGGCCGAGTCTTGCTTGAGCCTGGTGAGATTTGAACTGCCAAATTACAGGCAGCCGGCAGGCAGCAGAAGTAGCCTGCAGTACTGCCTTCTAACCACTGTACCACCGTGGCTCATGGAAGACTCCATGGAAATTCCAAGTCAATGAAAAAAAGACTGATAAAAAAAAATCAGCTGTACAACTCATATTTCAGCAATAGTTGTGTTAGAACAAATAATTGATATACTGCTGTTTGAAACGAACTCCATGTATGGAATATTTATTACTTTGTTAATGGTTTTATTTTTCTTTAGAGTCTTACATTTAAAGAGAAAATGACAAGCCTGAAGTTTAAAGAAAAACCTACAGATGTTGAAACCAGAAGTTATAAAGTTTTGTTGTTATCTATTGTAAAACTGATCCACGCTGACCCAAAACTCTTACTCTATGTAAGTGAAAATCCATTTATATATATATATATATATGTATGTATGTATGTATGTATGTATGTATGTATGTATGTATGTAT